GGGAAAATGATACCTGGACCTGGATGGGTCTGGACTCTCCCCCAGCCACTGCCTGTAGAGGGCAAAGGGTAGCCAGGGGCCTAGGTGGCCAAGTTCCCGCAGGTCTAGGCAGGACTTGTTCTTCCAGGGGTCCTGGATTAAGAAGACAAGATGGCTCAGGTGTATTTAGTGGGCCACTAGGCCCCATCACCTTCCTAGGCATTTTTGGCTCTCTTATACCATTTTGGGTCAATGTTTCCAGGCATCAGGGGTCAATTTTGTATTGCTTACACAATTTTTTATTTTTTCTTAAGGCAAAGAAAGCCTGAACATATGGGACCTCAGACCACTTCCCTTCCTTCCTGCAGAAAATATTTAATTGTATGATGGTAATACTCCCCTTTGAGGGCCATGCCTCTCAATCTGCCAAGCTTATATTGTGGCCATATTTAAGTATGCTTTCTCTTCAGGGTTTGTGGATCAAACGAATCCCAGTTACTCAAAATGCAATCTTAGAGGGTGTGCTGACCTTGGTGGCAGATGAGTTCCCCATCTGAAAAGACAAAATGAACAACGAGGCTACCAGTCCCATCTTGTTAGGGCCCCCCCGGGACGTCTCCTGTGTAGGGCAAGAAAGACTGCCTGTTAGTGCACACAAACTAATAGCTGACCTTCCTGGCTAGACTTGCTCATAGGGAAGGTCCTGACTTAACCCCCTACTGCTGGTGCTCACATGTGTGTGACCAAATTTGAGTATCTGTCAGGCAGTCACACTTTACTAATAAGATTTCCTGTGCTGCCTGTGTGATTTCCCTTAATGGGAAAGGGAACAAACCCTGGTCTGATTTCTAGAGTGCCCTAGGTGGTTAAAATATTTCTGTAGGGTAAATTGGACCTATTGGAATGACCTAAATAAAAGTTCCTTAAAATTCAAACCGTTGAAAGGTTGTCAAGCTTATTTGACCAAAAGATGTGATGTTTTTCCTCAGAGCCAAGAAATCCTTGCTCTCTGTCAGAGGGACAATGAGGCCTGGGCATGAAAGGAGGTGGCGATGGTGTCTAGAGGTGGTATTCTCTGAGCTGAGTAGGGTTTATAACCTAGTGGAGACAAACTGAACAAGAATGATGATAAATGGCCCAGTGGAAGAAAAAGTGTTTTAGTACGCAATGATTCCAAATCAAAGGATGGGAGAAAATTAACCATTAGTTTGAAGAGTTGTAGCTAAACATCCAAAAAAACTAAACAAATTTAGAATTTAGTTCAATTCATATATGAAAAATAAAACTTCAAAACAATTAACTGGAGTCTATTCCCAATTGTGTACTATAGAGTTTGTTGAGACACAATTGTTCTCTCTAAAATTACCCTCATTTTTATTAAAGATCAAATTAAGTCTAGTTGCAATTTGGCCTGATTATTTGCAGGAATACAAATAATACAATTGACTGTATAGGCTCTTTTAAAATTTGCTTTGCTGGAATCTCATGATTGAGGTTTTTTGTTTTTGTTTTTATTTTATTTTTTTCATGATTGAGCTTTAATGAGCCTTTTATGGCTCATTAAAGAAGCCGAGCCACCTACTTGCCATCAGGCTTGCCTACAATACCTGTAGACTTGGGTGAATTCCCCAAGTTTTTGAGGTTCCCAAAATTCCTTGAGGTTCCTTTCTTGACATCTTTCAGGAAAGTAACTTTCATTCCTTACCTGGAAAGACTACCATGAACCTCGTACCAAGCAAGGTACCAGGCTTTTCTCCAAGGCGCTCACATTGCCGTCAAGTTTTTTCTGGTGACATCCAGAGTCCAAGCATGTCTCTCTCAGACATGACACTCTAGTCAAAGTCTTAGTCAATAAAATGGCAGTTGGAAAGTGGTCTTATTAAATTAGTGCAAAGAAATGCATTGCCATGATTTACTCATTAAGAATTGCCAAATTCTGGAGGGATACGGTAGGGAGAAAAATATATAATTTACTAAATTGCTTTAAGAAAAGAAACAAGTTTCCTTCAGTCTGAAAAACAAAAAGATTAAGAATCAGCAATACTTTCAAAAGTTATAAAAACTATAATTATTTTCAGTTCGTTCAGCCCCATAATTAATTTTTTTGTTTCTCCTGATTTTTCCTGCCAGTACTTCTATAAACCCAGATAGTCTGTAGAATTCTAATAATTTTCATCCAGTTTGAAGGGAATGACCTGAAAATGTTAGAGTCCTTTCCATGGATTCCTCAGAAGATGTAACATTTTTCTAAATGCATTATAACAAAACAGTGACTATCTCTAAATAATAAGAAGAATTTAAAATGACATGGTTATGGATTTGAGTATAATACAAATGACATGGTATCTTGTCCTTTCTACAAAATACTGTTATAGAAGACCAAAGAAATACCAAGCACGCTTCCTAGAGAAAGGGACCCCCACCCCCAGTGCAGTGCATTGTTCACAGTTCCATAACCTCTGCATTTAGATAACAAGTTCTGTGTGACCAGTTTCCTCCTCATCCCACCCCCACGTTGTCCCACAAGCTTCTTTTAGCCTTGTGGAGCAACAAATCCACAGAGGGTGTTTCTGGTATCCAGGTGTTCAGTCCTGCAACCTTGAGAGCGGTAAGGGTGGTCAGGATGACGGTATGTGGTCCCTTCCAGGTAGGAGTCAGTCCTTGGGTGGTCTTTACCCAAACAGAGTGACCAGGTTGGAAGGGATGGACCAGATCAGAAGTTGGTACAGGCAGAACATCTCAGATGTGCTTCTGGATTGCTTTTTGGGTAGACTGTAAAGCCTGTAAGAACTTGAGTAAGAATTAGTTATGGATTTCAGCCTTTACCCACCAGAATCTGTAGAGGCCCCACTGGTTTCCAGGGCAGCCTTCCGGGCTGCTTCATCTGTGGCCCGGTTCCCTCATGCCTCTGTAGAGCCCCCATACCCTGCAACAGCACTCCGCACGTGAGCTGTTGTAATCGCATACTCACCATCAGCACAAATTGTCACTGATTCTTCTCTTGCCCACCAGAGAGCCTGAATAAGGGCAATCAACTCGGCCTTCTGTGCCAAAGTCCTGCAGGCGAGCACCTGAGATCAGGTGGTTTGATCCAAAGCAACCACCACTGCCCCCGCATACCTGATTCCTCCCTGGATAGAACTGCTCCCGTCCATGAATAGTACCTCATCCGG